GTTCTTTCAAGAGCTTCTTGCTATCAATGAAGCTGGGCAGAAGGAGCTAGGTAACTGCCCGTTCAATGCCTATGTCTGCCCATTCAGCCACGACGCTCAAGGCAAGGCAATCATTCCCAAGTAATCTGGGAACATGGCAGAAACAACAACATTAAAGAAAAAAATCGGACTGACGTTTTGCTAGTATTTATGCCACGGTTGTAATTGTTTTGACTGTTTCGTGTCTTTTTTTTTTTGGCCAGGGGTAAAAACTTGTCTTTTCCGCTTGCCTTGTATTTTGGTAACATTGTGAAGAAGCTTTAAGAAATTAATAAAGCTCCGCAAAAAAAGTTGAACAAGCATGTGCTTCATAGCATAATACCAAGTGAAAAATATACACTTTTAATTTCGTATTTCCATCCAGCTGTTGAAACATGAATCGGAAAGTTTGGAAGGCTGACTAGAAATGCGGAACCACAAGTTGAACTGAGGCGAGTGTTTTGGAGTTCCGAATTGTAAATCTCGAACTCATAATCTAATTCTTAATTGGATGAAAATACGAGTGGAAGTTTGGCAGAACGACTTTTCCACAACTAACCAGCCTGACGGGCATCAAATCAATAACTGCTCTTATCATCGTGACATTTTGTTAATAATAACAGTTAAGAAATTGAAAACATGTACCGTGTTTCAATCGAAACACAATTGGAAGTTCGCGAGAACGAGAAATGCTGTGGGAACACGAGCCGCAGGCGAGTGTTTCCACAGCTTTTTCGGGTTCTCCCAAACTTTCACGAGTGTTTCTATAACTCGATATAGAAACATGGAGAACATGTTTTCTATTTCTTAATTGTTATTACCAAAACCTTGTCCTGGTCACATGACTGGTCAAATATGGCCGTGATCTGAAATTCTTGCAAGACTTTTCGATGCAACAAACCTGTGTAAAACGCTTATACTTGAAATATGACCGATGGAAACCTTCCATAGCAACGAATTCATGACCAAATGGTTTATAACGCACGTGCACAGCCATTTTTTGCACATCAGACCTTTTTGGTGACGTTCTCTCTTCTATTTGTAAAATCGCCCTCGTTAAAAATTCAGTCGGACGATTAGGGAATTTATCACGTAACAGGTGGCCTGTCAGGCATTATGCAAAGCAAACGTCAAATAAACGAGCAAGATACCATTACCATTAATAATAAATGATAGTTTTATCCAAACATGGGTTCCAGCATTTGTTCTCGGTTACGAAAGTGGAGGAAAAGCCTGTCGAAAAAAAGGACCAAAGACGAAGAAACTGCCTCTTTGAAAGTCAACGAAGAGGTTGTTAGTAAAGACGAGTTCGCGACAGAAAAGTTAAGGGAAATTATTCGCGAAGAAGATGATGGCATGAAAGTTGTCCTCTATACTAATGGGGATTTAGAGGAATTAATAGCTGATCTCGAAGAGCAGCTTCAAAAGCTTCGTTTCAATAAACCAGAGAGAGAAAAACTGTGTTTGGACCTAGGGCATGCCTACTTCAAATTGTGCAAGTTTCAAATTGCCAAAGATTACTACGAGCAGTATTTCAATCTTGTGAAACGGCATCGTTCGTTGCCGCGTTTGCAAAGAGCATACTGCAACCTTGGTTGCGTTTACAGGAGGTTAGGAGAGTACGACAAAGCTGCGGAGTTTTTAGAGAGTGGTTTAGCGATTGCTGAAGACCTTCAG